AAGGCCAGACCCCTGCTGCCCGTGCCAGCGTCGCCGACACTGCCGCCACTGGCGCCGGCCGCGGCGCGCTGCTGGTCGCGCGCCGTGAGGATCGGCATGAGGAGCCGCGCGTCGGCCGCCTTGAGCTGGTCGATGCGGTCCTTGAGCTTGTTGCGGTCCTTGACGAGCCGCTCGAGCTCGAGCTTGCGCTGCCGCTTCTCGACGTTCTCGGGCTTGCGGTGGCGTCGCTCGTACGCGGCATCGGACGTGTCCTCCTCGTTGCGCATGCCGCGAGTCTTGCCCATTGCCTCGCTGTCGTCCCGCAGCTTGAACTCGGGCGTCTCGATGACGGCCGTCTCGCGGCAGGCGCGTGCGACCTCGGGGTCGGCAAAGATGCTGAGGACGGCGGCTGCATCGCCCTGCTGCACGGTGACGGTGCGCTCGACCAGCTCAGCGTCGTTGGTGAGGATCAGCCTGGCCGATGGAGGCAGCAGCGCCTTGTTGTTCTCGACTGGTTGAGCGCGAGGGAACGAGGTGACGAGGTGAGGGCGGGCGTAGAGTCAGCATGTCTGTCCGTGTGATGGGGCGTTCGTTGGCACGACCGACGCCCATGGACCTACCTAGCCTTTGCTGCGAGTCGAGCAGCTCCTCTTCCAGCATCGAGCCTGCCAGCAGGCTCGAGACCTGCCGTAGCCGCGCCGGCATCGTCCTCCTCTTGGACCTGGTCTCCGCCTGCCCATTCTTGGGCTCCTTGCGGTTCGTAGACGGGGTGGCTGCACTACGCCCGAGGCTGATCTGCCCTGCCTCCTGCTTGACTGCGACAGGTGCCGGGCTCATGGTGACGTCGCCCTCGCGTGCATCGCGAAGCCGTGCCGCGGAGACATCTTCGCCTTCTTCGTCTTCTAACTCGTCCTCCTCTTCGTCCTCGTCGTCCTCGTCGACGCTCATGTCGACGTCTGACAGCGAAGATGCGCTGTCGTCGAGGTCGCGCAGACCATTTGCCTGACTCTGCAGGCCCGCGGGCGGGCGCACGGGAGGGTGCGGCGCAGCTGGGGAGGGGCCAAGTGGGTCTCTCGTGCTTGAGCTCTGATGTACCTGCTGATCGGCCGCGTCGGCCGGGGAGTCAAGGCGCATTCTCGAGCTGGAGGGCAAAGCTTGGCTGGAACGCGGACTGACATGGCGTGAAGACGGCGAAGGTGCGGTGACGGCGGTGTCGTCAGAGGCCGAGGAAGATGATGGAGGCTGTGGCCCGCGATCCAGGTCGACCATCGCCCGTCCCGCCACGCCACTGTCCAGCTGAGAAGGGCGCCGCGTGAAGAGCGAGGCCGTCGTGACCGGGGACGATGCCGGGTCGCCCACCGACAGGTAATACGAAGGCGGAACCGATGAGAGGGCCGCGGTGGGATTCGCGGTGGCAGCGGTGGTGGTGTTTGCGGTGGCGGGTGCAGAGGGTGCGAGGCCGGCGGACAGCCGGGCCATCGCAGGGGCTCGGTCGGGCCGCCCCGCGAGAGGGCAGCTCAAGGGCGAGGCGATGGGGGGCGCGTCGAAGGTAGAGGTGAAGGCAGCGGCGAGGACCGCTGCTTATGTACCGGGGCCGCGAGCGATCCCGACCTCACTGCAGGGCAGCGGCGACGGCAGCCGGCGCGGGCAACGAGGCGGAACTTGCACCGTGCGTGTCTGACCAGGGCGTGGGCAGCTGGTCCAGAGGGACGAGCGTGGTGCCTGCACGGCGATGGCAACGGTCGATTCGGCGTTTCGTCGGATGGCCCGATGGGGCGTGGGAGGCGCAACCTTCACTTGCTCAGGTTTCGGCTTGGCCGACGATAGTGTGGTGGCGGTGGTCGTGTTGGTGGTGGTAGTTGGGCGCGAGGCTATTTCGGCGCGGGCGTCTTCCGAGGTCGAAGTCGAGCCTGCCTGGATCAGCAGCTGCAAGGCAAGTTGGATGCAGCTCGGGCGCAGCCAGACTAGGCAGGCCAGACGGAGCGACCGATTCGGGCTGCTTCCGACTCCTGTCTGCCTAACTGGGCGACCGAGGAGCAGACGTGCGAGGCGGTGGCCTTTCGGATCGTGTCCGAGACCGCAGGAGGTAGGTGGGGGAAGCGGCCGGGGCGGGCGGAATGAACCCGCGGGCGCTGAACGCTAGCCAGAGTTTCTCGGACCGAGCAGGCGGCCGGGTCTGCCGATACGGAGTGGCCGTGCTGAACGCTGCGAATGGCGAGAGATCGAGCGGTGCGGGGGGGTGGCGAGCTGTGACAGTCCGGATGGGGGCCGGGACGAGGGATGGGGGGGCAGGACAGGGCAGGGGAGGGCCGGCTGGTCGCGTCGAGGGCGCGGCAGCTGGATGTCGTTCTTCGGCCTGGTCAGCCAGCCAGCCAGCCAGCGGAGCGGTCCCGGTGGAGGCAAGGCCCAATCGGCTGGCCTGCGCTGCCCGGCCTCGACGCCGCTCTCTGGCTGGCTCGGCCAGCCCCAGCCCCATCCCCAGCCCCAGCCCCAGCTCCAGCCTCAGCCTGCCTACACGCCACGCCCAGCCTACGCACCATATATGGACCTGTCTTCTCCATCGACGGCCTGCCCTCGTCGCTGCCCCGCCTCTCGCCACCATCTTGTCTCTCTCTCTCTAGTTTTCTCTCTTTTGCGCGCGCTCTCTGTCTCTCTGTCTCTCTCTCTCTCTCGTTGCATCGCACTCGGTTTCTCCCTCACGCCCGTCGTCCGACGACCATGAGCTCCCTGCCGGACGAGCCCTACTATCCGCCGGAGCTGCTCGGCGATCCTGTCCTCTTCGACTGGATCGCCATCAAAGACGCCCTCGGACGCATTGCCAGGGCCGCCGTCGGCGCCGTCCAGTCAGCAGTCTTCTGGCTGGTGCTGATCCAGGTCGATGCCGCCATCCTGCTTGCCAATCTCCTGCTGCCGTACCGGAGCGCACCTGTCCACGGTCGCGCTCACGGTGTCGTCGACGGCGACGGTGTGTCGCGACGTCGGCGCCGCGTCCATTACATCTCGCACCGCCGCAGCCGGGTGGCCGTGGGCGCCGGTGGGGCTGCGGCTGCGGCCGCGACCGGCAGCGAGATCGTGAGCCACTCGTTCTCTCCCCTGCAGCCGCCCCGCATCTGGCATGCGCCCTTCTCCTTCCTCCTGTGCCAGCTCGCCTTCTTCTTTGGCGCCACCGACGGCCGCGGCCCCGAGTGGCTCAGGTGGTGGTCCGCCTGGTCCGGTATCGGCTGGCGCGGCGATTGGGGGCTCGCCGACTGGCCAAAGGAGTGGGACCTTCGCAGCCCCTGCCCGCCGCTCAACGCCCTCGCCAACCACGGCATCCTGCCCCTCGACGGCCGCGGCATCCGTCCCCACCAGCTGGCCTCTGCCGTCATGCACACCTTCAACCTCTCTCCCACGCTCGCGCTGGCGCTCACGTGGACTGCAGAGCCGCTCTGGCGGCACCGCGGCGAGTTTGACCTGAGCGACCTGTGCGCCCACAACGTCGTCGAACGCGACGCCAGCCTGCTGCGTAAGTACCTACGGTCGTAAGCGGGCAACGCCTCGAAGCCGCCCGGCCGAGCCTCAGGCCTGCGGTCACCATCTGACGAGCCGAGCAACGGTCGCGTGTCCACCTCCTCCTCCCCGCCCGTGGACCGGCGGCGTGGCGATGGCAGGCCCGGACGTCAACTCGGTCGAGCAAAAGAAGGACGACCAGGCGCAGGAGCACTCGTGGCCGGGCTTGGTCGATGCGCTGCTGCCGACGTCCGAGAGCGAGTTGCTGCGAGAGGCCAAAGCGGCGGGCGCGCAAGCCGGCGGCTGGGACGGCCCCAAGGCCACTGCCTATCAAGTGCCGCACCTCAGCCTCGCCAACCTCGCCGACGCCATCGCTGCGCGCCGTCTGCAGTGCGCCGCCAGCGATGGTCAGTACAGCCTCCGCCTCGGTCAAAAGGTCCACGCCAGCTTCAAGACCGCCCTGGTGAGTCTTTGGCGTGGCCCAGGCGGTGGCTGCTGAGCTGCTCGTCGTCGCGATGTGGTGCTGGTCGCTCGCAGCACCTCGTTTTTGTCTGACACCGAGCATGACTGCGCACCTCTCTGTTCAGCTCCACGGCTTGCTCGGCGGCAAGATTAGCGACCTTCGCCGGTTCGTTGGCGGCACGCAGTACGTCGACGTGGACCTCGCCAGCAGCGACCAGGGTGCCCGCAGCGCCGAGGGCGAGGTCCAGTACCTGTCTGGCCTCGAGCACATCCCTTCGGGCTGGCAGCCTGCAAGCACGGCCTGCTTCGGAATGACGCTGCTCGAGGCCCTGTGGCGCGGCATCAAGGTCGAACTGGCCGTCGGCGACACGGCTGTGCCGCGCAAGGTCGGCTGGAAGTCGCCCGAGGACGTCTTGGGCGGCGGTCGGTCTAGCTCCCGCCGCCGCGATCGGGACATGGCTGGCTACAGCGTACCGGCCAAGCAGCGCCGCACCTGGCCACCGCGGCCGGTCGCCGTACAGGCCCAGGCGGAGACCGAGGCGGAAGCGCAGTTCCCGAGCAGCGAGAGCACGCTCGGCGGCGCTCCCTACGGACAGGCGGCGGGGGCGGCGGCGGCACCGGAACGGGAGCTCGAGAGGCCCAGGACCGTCAGCTTCGATGTCGGAGGCGCGTCGGAAGCGGTCGAGCCCGCTCAGCCGCAGTCTGCCGAGCCCTGACGGGCGGGAACAGCCAGGACCAGATCTGATGGGATGCCGGCAAAAGTGCAAAGCAGCAGGGCAACCAAGCGGCCAACGAGCTGCATTGAGCAACACGAGCACGACGGACCGGTCGAGCGAGCGCGCACGAAGCGTGGCCGACGCGCTTCGAGCAATCGTCAGCGCGAGTCGCGGGGACTTGCGCCGCAATGCAGTCGAGCTCCCCGCCCGACGTTCGCAGACCAGACCCGGCGGCGAGGACACGTGAATGTCAGGCATCTAAGGCGTCGAATGCGCAGGTGCTTTTGCAGGCGCTGACCCGAGAAGCGAGAAGAGAGACCGTGACGTGGAGGACATTGCAGAAGCATGCAGGGTGAGCCGCGGGATCGAGGATCGTGTGACGGGAGGGGCAAGAGGGCGAAGGCGACGACGGCGGGAGCGGGGGTCGAAGCTCAGTCGCTGTCGTCGAGCAGGCTCCGCGAGCTGCGCTGGGAAGAATACGAGGCCGACCTGGGCCCAAGACCGGGGCGCGCCCGCGGGCGAAGGGGGACTTTGGGTGCGGTCGTGGCCGTGCCGCTGCCGCTGCTGCTGGAGCCGGGGTGGAGTGTCGAGGCTGAGGCTGGGGTCGATGCAGCAGCGACGCTGGACGGTTTGACGGGGATGGGGGGTGGAGGCGGTTTGCCGGAAGCCGTGCTGCCCGTCGCCATCGTCATGGCAGTCGCGGTGGTGGCAGAGGGAGGCGCGCTAAAGGACGAGGCGGGTAGGCTTGCGGGACCGCTAAAGACTCGTCGTTCCGCCCCCGCCGACGCGTGGGCGGACGCCGCGGTTGCAGGCTTGGCGGGTGTCGATTCGGTGATGGCCGACGAATTCGCCTGGGCCGCGAGAAGCGACGAGGATGATGGCGACGACGACGAGATGTTGCGAGGTGGAGCCGCTGGTGCTGGTGCTGGTGGTGGCTTCCTCGCCGTATAGCCCCCTACCGCCTGGGGTCTGATTGCACCGCCACCGCTAGGGCTAGAGGTGCCGACATTCGGAGGTCGTCGGCGCCTCGTGGCCGAACTCGTCGATGGGCGGAACGGGTTGACGCTCGTCCATCCCGCCTCGCTCTCCGGCCCATCCTCACCATCCTCGTCGTCGTACTCGTCGTCGTCATCATCCTCGCCGTCGTCGTCGTCGAGCGAGTCAGTCCCGTCCGTGTCGTACTCTTCGCCCTCGGCCGGCGCAGCCTCGTTGCGATGGCGTCGACCGCCGTCCCACCAGTTCCAGTGCTCGTCGGAAGGATCTGGCACCTCGCCGTCCGTCTCGGCGTCGCTGCCCGTCCCATCGCTGCGGGCGAAACCGACTCCTTCGCCGCCGCCGCCGCCGCCGCCGCCACCGCCACCTCCATCGCCGGGCGAGATGCCGAGCTCGGCCCTTTTCCGCTCCATGAGCTCGCGCTTGATGGCATTCTTGTGCGCCTCATCAATGGTGCGCACCTGCACCTTGAACGACGAGTAGACGGGGCGGTGGTCGCTCGTCTTGAGCTCGGCGCGGTAGTAGCTCTGCTGCTCGACGCCGACGCCGCGGTAGAGGATGCGATCCGTCCAGGCGGGGATGCGCTGCTTCTCGGACGAGTCGTACGTCGTCGACCCGTTGTCGTACTTGTACGTCGGCGCAAACAGCAGCAGCCCTTCCTCGTAACCGGGAAACACGGCGCCGGCCTCGCGCGAGCGCGCCAGCTGGTCGCGCGGGTAGAGGGCGGCGAAATCCTCGCGGGCCGCCAGCGCCCGCACGGCGTCGTTGGCCAGGTCGATGCGGTAGTTGAAGTCGCCCAGCCACAGCACGACGTCGTGCGACGCGATGCTGCGCCCGCGCCCGAAGCTCAGCCCACGCGTAATGGTCCAGTAGTCGGCGTTGCGCTCCTCGTAGTTGGTGTGGCCCGCGGCAAAGTGGGCCGTGACGAGGCAGATGGACGTGTCGCACAGGTTGAGCCGGATGGCCACGCCGCCCTTGTTGCCGCTCATGCCCTTGAGGCCCGTCTTTTTGGTCGCCGCCTCGACCTGCCGGATGTCGTGCACCAGCGCCTCCTTGGCCAGCACAATGAGCGCCGTGCCCACCAGCTGCTCGCTCCGCAGCAGCACGTAGTCGCTCCGTTTCCGCGGTCGGCGCGACAGCGTGTCGACAAGCTTGGCCTCCCACTGCCGGATCTTGTCCGGATCCGTCATGAGGATCTGCTGCGGCGTCAGCTGGACAATCTCTTGGAAGCCGATGGCAAACAGGTCCGGCTCGTCGTCGTCGCCGCCGCCGCCCGGAAAGAGCCAGGGCAGCAGCGACTCGCCGGGCGGCTGGCCGTTGAGGTTGAACGTGCCGGCAAAGATCGACACGGTGCGGCTGCTCGAGTACTCGTCGATCCGCGCCGACAGCTCGGCCGAGACGCTGTCGACGATCGGGTCAAACACCGTCACGGGCCGCTGGTCGGCCATGTTGCCAAGCAGCGCGTCGATGACGTTCTGCTTGCCCTTGTCCTGGAAGTTGTTGATGTACATCCTGCCGGCGCTCTTGGCGGCGTCGCTGAGCAGGCCGCCGAGCGTCTTTTTGCCGCTGCGGGTGAAGCTCGTGTTGAGCGCGCCCGTGCCGGCGTAGATCTTGGAGAGGGCGTCGCCGTTTTCGGCCCACAGCACGCGGTGGTGCGTCCAGAGCGGGTGACCCGGCGAGGCGAAAGGCTCAAAGAAGCCGCGGCGCGCGGCGGCCGCCTCGACAAACGACTCGAGCGTCGACTGCGACAGCATGTCCTGGACCACGTTGGTGCGGTCGAGGCAGTCGAGGCAGTTGGTGCGGAAGACGCCGCGCTGCCGCTTGCGCAGCCTGCCCGCCTTGGCGTCGTAGACCGTGTAGCCAAACGCCTTGCGCTTGAGCTGGACCGGGCCCAGGAAGCGCAGCTCGCTGCGCACACCGTCCAGGCCGCCCGTCGTCCGCGAGACGGTGTGGAAGTCGAAGTTAGTGAGGCCGATCCGCTCTCCGATGTCGTCGCCGTTGCCGTCGTCGGTGGAGTAGCGCTGGTTGTCGTCCTCGTCCTCGTCGTCACCGCCGCCGCCGCCGCCGCCGCTGTAGCCTTCGCCTTTCGCGCCCTGGCCACCGCTCGGCACGCCCTCGTCGGCGGGCAGCACCGCCAGCGACTCGGCCGAGCTGTGGCGGATGTGCTCGGCGTAGGCGGCGCTGAGCACCGTCTCGGCGTCGCGCGTGCCCAGCAGGTTGACGGCGTGCACCTGCGAGTAGTGCGAGATGAGGTCGGCAAAGTGGCGGTCAAAGGCGGGCTGGGATGCGACGCGGGAGCGGGTGACCTGGATGCGGGCGTTGAAGGCCTGCAGGCCCTGCTGCTCCCAGAAGAGCGGCACCGAGCCGCGCACCTGGTCGTAGCTGAAGACGGCGTCGTCGGTGCTGAAGAGGGTCTCGGACTCGACAAAGTTGGCAACGTTGCCGTCGTCGTCGACGCCGCGCGTGTTGAAGCGCGTCCCGGCGCGCTTCCAGCTGAGGCGGCTGATGACGGCGAGGGAGCAGGTGGCGCGTTGCCGTTGCGCGCCTGTCGCTGGCAACAGGGACGACGACGACGAAGACGTCGTCGACGAGGGGATGGCCGAGGGCGGGCCGGAGGGAGCTGCGCCGGCCATGTCGTATACGCCGACGAAGCCCTGTATTGCAAGGAGGAGGAAGCTGTGGGCATCGAGCCTGGCGCGGTCGGGGGCCTCGAGGCGATGTCGAAAGTCGATGAGCGGCTGGATCATGTAGCTGTTCCACACGAAGCGGCCGTCGTAGCGCGAGATGTCGTGCTGCTGCTGCTGCTGCTGCTGCGGGCGCACCCGAGGGTTGCGGGGAGCGGCGTGGCGCAGCCTCTGGTCGAGGCGGGTGGAGATGTCAAAGGCGCCGCCCTTTGCAAAGTAGAAGGTGCCCGTGCCGAGGAGCTTCTTGAGGCTGGCGCAGGGGTGCTCGTACACGCTGGGCTGGGTGACGGCGGCGTCGTTGGGTGGGCCGATGGCGTCGTAGGGGTCGAGGCCGGCCTGCGGGTGGCTCTCGGAGATGATGGTGTCGTCCCAGGTGGAGCGGTTGACGCAGAAGAAGGCGACCGATGTGATGCGCATCACGGCCTCCCCGGGGCGTATGGAGCCGACGTCGACGGCAGAGGTGACGACGGCGACAAAGAGGTCAGGGCCGACATTGATGAGGCCGAGGCAGCCGGCAATGGGGCGCGAGGTGAGCTTCTGCAGTGCGAAGCCGTCCAGGTCGCGATCCTTGACCACTTCGACGACGGCGCGGGAGGCCGACGACGACGACGACGACGACGAAGGTGGTGCGCCGGCGTCGAAATCGGAAGAGGGATGGGCTGACGAGGCAGGCGTGAGGGCGGATGCCTGAGACGAGACGAGGATGGCCGTAGTGGTGCCACCGCCGCCGCCGCCGCTAGGGCTGGATTGAGGACCATGTGCGACTAAGGCGATGACGCGAGGGGCGTCCTGAAGGTAGACGTGCATCGCCGTGGCGGTCGCGATGGCGCTGGCGGTCGATATCGAGGTCGAGGTCGGGTAAGAGGGTCTGAACGTGACTGTGGGGGAAAGGCAAGCAAGCCAAAGAAAGGCCCATCAATGCGTGGGCTGCTTTGGCTGCCAGGCAACAGGTGAGCCGTGCGCGCGGCACAGCCTCTCTGCTCCGCCGCCGCTGCCGCCGCCTTCGGGCGATACATACATCGACCGACCTGCTACCTCCACCTGGCCTGCCTCTCGACCTCTTTTGCAACTGGAGGAGTGGATGGGGCGAGTCTTGATCTGCCATGTGTGGCAGCCTTGATTCAATGCTTGCATCAATTGACATCGGCCCAGGCTGGTGCCAACGGCTCCGAGGCCCGCGGTGCCTTTTCGCCGACTTCCGAGACTTCCACTACGGTATTTCCGCCTCGCGCGCGCGCGCTTTCCCTCCTGCCAGCACACCACCACCTCTCCGATCCCGCGTCCTTTTGACTTTGTCACCGGACCACCTTGTGCCAGCGCATAGGTGCGTCGACCACCCGCCCGGATCTCTTTGTCTGCTGGGCGCGCTCCCATCGTGGGTCCTGACTCGCCCGTGTGGGCACTGACTCGCCCGTGTGGGCACTGACTCGCCCGTGTGGGCACGAGCGAGCAACGGAAGAGCCGGTTGCAAGGTCGAGACGTTGCACAGCCTTCTGCGCACTGCGAGCGCACCGCCGTACGCTGCTACTACTGTACTGACCTATCAAACGCTCGATCTGTTTGCGCTGCATGTACTATGCACACCGTACCGTATCTGCTACTTGCTGCGCAGCGCCGGTGCGCCAGATGGCGGCAGGCTACCGCGCGGACCGTGCTCGCGACGAGATGGTACGGCAGGTTTCGGCACCCGCCTGCTCCATTCAACTGTCTCGTTTGCGTATTCACTGTCAAGCAGCCCGCACGCCCGAGGCGCCTGCTCAAAGGGACCGGCTCCAGACAAAGGAGGCATTCACCAATGGAGCACCTGAGACCGCTCCCTTCTGTGCTGCAGGTGGCCCTGTACCCTCGAGCCCCCTCCCCGGCGCCCCTTGTCGTTTCTTCGATGATGGTGGCGGCTGCAGCGGCTGGTTTCAATGACAATGAGGACGGCTCCGCAGCAGCGGCCTCGTTCCAGTCCAATAGGGGCAGAAGTCGCGCTGTGCTGTGCTACAGCACGCACGCCGCGCCGTGCCGTGCCGTGCCGAGGCTGCTGATGGCCATTTCCTAGACAGAAGAGCTGACTGTTTGGCGGCCGCCCTGCCTTCCGCCCAGCGAGCAGCGGGTGGATAAAGTGGCGCAGACGACACCGTAATAGGCGCTCAGTCCTCGGCCGACCTTTTGTGCTCGATGCCGCACAGGGCGTGACGGTGCCGCATCGGCCTGGGTGCGCTGGTCATTCACAGCTGAGTGTCCACCGGCAAAGGTCGACAAAAGGGGGCCAAGAGGATCGGCCGTACAGGGCGCCAGTGGATACATGGCAAAGTTGCCGTAGTGTGGCGGCCTGATCGTATGTCGTCGACGATGCGCTTCGCCGCTGCCAAGGGACCGATGCCGTATCGTCGAAGGACGAGGGGCCCGACCGGGAGCTAACCAACTACCTCAGCGTCATCCTGTGGGTCGAGCGGGCAGGAGTCAAGACTCGCAAGGAGAGGATCAAGAGTCGGCCCGACGTCCTGTCGCAAAAAAGTGCCCGGCCACGTCAAAAGTCGTCGCCGTCGCCGTTACCGGTACGTACGTACATCGCAGCCTCCCGCGTCACCGCAAGCTCCCAGCAGAGGTCCTAGCCAGGATCAAGGTTCGAGATTGCCTCTCGACGCCGTCGCCTCTGTCTGTCACCTTTAGGCGCGCGCGCTCGTGCCGTCGCCGCCTTCGCTCATTGGCGCTCGGCGCAACGACATCACGCTCTGCGGCCGGTACGTGCAGGACGGAAGAGATCCTCCGCCAAATGTCGGTGTTGACGGCAGGTGGTTTTGACGGCAGGTGGAGTTGGTCGTGATCGTGCACAGATGTACGTTCGTTGTTTGGGTACCGGAGTGACACACCTGGCGTCGCCGCCGGCCGAGAGCTGATGTGCTGGATATTGCTGCTGAAAGCGAGAGCCGCTGCACCTTCTGCCAGGTACGGCTACCCTGCGCCGCTTCTCCTTGACCCTAGGGGACCGTCCGCTGTCCGGAGGAGACGGCCTGGGAGATCTACACAAACGTAGGTACTCGTACCTACAGGTACGATGGCCTGCCGCCTGGGCATCGCCTACGGGCCTAGAGCCTCAAGCGGACGGGCTGTCCGGGATCATGCGAAAAGAGGGTCTGCCTGGCCCGGGGTGGTAGGGTGCAGCGGGCGTGTGTGCGACGTGCGAGCCCCGCTCCGCTACGAAAGGGGGGGGGGGGGGGGGCCGCCGTCGGGCCTTGCTTGTCTCAGCTGCTTGCCTGCTTGGCTTGTTTTCTTGCTTGCTTGTTCGATGGAATGGCAGGCAGGCAGGCAGGCAGGCATGCGGCCAGGCTCCGGATATGCGGCGACCCAGTTTCGGCCAGGCCTGCCGACCTACGTGCCCCCCTGCAAGAGCATACTGCCAGGCCAGGCCAGGCCTATGCGGACGTATCGTCGTCGCGTTCTGCCCGATCCTCGGCGTTAACCCCCCATGGCCGACGCCACCCTCCCCGCGAAGACGACGGCGGCGATGGCGACAACGAAAAAGGTTGTTCGACGCGACCATGCCGGGCGCGACCGGATCCTGGCCAATTCTTGAACACCGAAGCCGCCGCCGCCGCCACCACCAATGCGCCTGTGAGTGAGTAGTATCCTTCGATCGCCAGGCGGAAGGCACCCATACGCACGCCTAGAACCCCATCGATGGAGCGCCGGCCGGAACCCCAGCGATCGCTAGCTGAGCGATGAACGGTCGCGATCGATCCCCGAGCGCACTACTGGGCCCGCCGGGCCTGGCCTGTGGATGGTTGCCAAGCAGTCAGAGCGCCCGCACCTGCTCCGATTGTCCTACCGGTACCCGTCGCCCCCTGCCCCTCTAGGCTGCTGCTGGCTGGCGGACGGGCGGGCCAAGCAAGTTAAGGTCGAGGCCGGGGTCGAGGCCACAAATCCACAAATACCCGAGGCTCGGGTTGGTGGGGTCTTCGCGGGAGCGGATTCGAGTCCGGCTCCCGGTGCCCGGTGACGTCCCGTTGGCGAGCGGCGCCTGTCATACGGACATGTGCGGTCGGCGGAGTGCTACGCTCCCTCCTGGCCCCTCGCAGGGCATGCACCCGCGCCCCTACCTACGGCCTCTCGACGTCCAGGCCACGGACCTAACCCGCTACCTCGCCTCGTCGGCAAACTCTCCAGTCGCACCTTCACGGCGCTGCCAATCGACAAGTCCACAGGAGATGATGAGATGGTGCACGGCGTGGGAGGGACCTGCGGTGCGGTGCGGTGCGCCGCTGCGTCGCGGCTGCCGGCCGCGCCCTAAAAAGTCGGAATGCCGAAAACAGGAACGGCGCACGTAGCGAGCCCGTCGACCCGTGCCGGACTCGAACACGCACCCAAGACCGCCAAGCTCTGGCGGGCTCCCCGATCGATGCCAAGTCAGATTTTTTGAAGAGAGAGAAAAAAAATCGGCCGGCCCTGGACGTGCCAAGGCCTCTCTGCGAAGCTCTGCGCTGCGCTGGGCGCTGACGTCGGGTCGCCACGGCGCGTCCGCCGCACGCTCCCTCGCTCGCTCGCGTCCAGCCCAGCCCAGCCCGGCCTCTTGGCTTCTCCATCTTCCGCCTCCACCAGCAGAAACCAGCAGGCTGCGCCAGGCGCTGCATCATGGGAACATCCCCACTCATCATCAACCTCGGCATCGCATCATCACCACCACCATCGTCGGGCTCTGACTGGCTGGCTTCTCAGCAGTCGTCGTTTGTTCCACCGTACCCTGCCTGGATCGATCCGCCGTCATCGTCGTCGCCGTCGCCGTCGCCGCCATCGCCACCGCCGCGTCCGCTGCGTCCGCCGCAGTCGGGCCGGCGAGAGGGCAGTCGAGCAGGCCAGGCACACAGGCGGGCATCGGAGCGCACGTGTGGTCCGGAGATCTTTCGGCAAATCTACGTACGTCTCGGGGACCCGTGGGTTGCCTCCCGGCCCAACGAGCGGCGCGGGCAGGCGTGGCAGTCAGGTACAGTACGCTGCCTTGGAGCGAGGTCGGCTACTGCCGGCGCTAAACGAGCCACCAGCCACACTGGCGCCACGTCCTCGCTCTCCAAGCAGCATGCGCCCGGCGCCGGCGACGGGCACGAGGATGCAGGCCGAGATCGACTCGTGCGATGGGCTGGTCGGTCGACACGTACATACGATCATGCTACCCCCGCTGTGGCGCGCCGCCGCGGACGCTAATGATTGACCGCCGATCCTCGTCCCTGCCCGGCAAAAGGCACGGGCGTCGCACGTTAAAAGCGCAAGCGCGTTTAGCAGACAAGGCCTGCCGGCGACTTTGCCGCGCTCTAGAAAAGGGAAGGCGCCAAGGAAGAAGCTGCTGCACACAATCACGGCCTTGAGTACGGGCCGGGTGCTCTGGAGCCGCTTGGCAGGCCCACTGTACCACTGTGCTCTGGAAGACCAAGCCGCATAGATTCAGCCGTCGTCGCTTTGTCCTGCCATTCGGTAAGTGTCCGGCTACCCTGTGTGCAAGGACAGCAGGCAAAAAAGAGCCGAAACAGGCCGGCTGCGCTGGTTTCTCATTCTCTCTCATCTTCGCCCATCGCCTGAGACAACAACCAATCATCCCGCCTTCTCCCAGGCGGATTGAGCAGGCAGGCGGGTGTCGTTTTGGGTCCGACGACGGCTGAATGCCGGGCTGCGCATGCCCGTCGAGTTGAGCAGTCCGGGTGTGGTAGATGGCTCCGATTCGACCTACCGAAGGACATCCCGAACACACCGGCTGTGCTTGCTTCGAGGAGAGGATTCATCCGAGACAGGTCAGTCGAAGATGATTGACCCGGACCGACGACGACGAT